TCCACCTGGTTGAGGGTCTTCTTCTCCATTTCTGTCCCTCCACCTTTCCAAGCATGATGTCTCTTTCCATATCGGTAGGAATATTATATCAAAGAAGGAATGGGTTTATTGCATGTGAAAATATACTAGAAGAATTGAAAGTTAAAAGCAAACTAAGACCGAGTGTATGCTTTTTAAAAAATGCAGATGTGGTGTATGTATAATGGAAGACTATTAGGCTCCCATCAGAGAGCTCAAATTCATTTCAAAGTAAAGAAATAAATGGCACAGAACATTTTTTCCCAAATAAGGGAAGTTAAATAAGATACATAGAGGAAATGAAAGCAAGATATTTTGAAAGTAGACTCAAAGCATATATGAGAGGAAAATTTATGCAGTGGTTTTTAGGTGGAGTTACAAAACATATATGTTTTTCCTGATACCACTGTCTCTCCACACATAAAAATACTCCCCAGGTACCTCATATGTCTGCCTTAAATTATTATTCATGCCTTCTCAAGTCTAAACCCATCCTCAGGACAAAATTGAATAGATTTTTTTTCACATTCACTTATCAATAAATGCTCTTGAGCTGCTCCATTGTGCCAGGTATTGCAATAGTTCAAGGAATATCAGCGAGTTAAACAAAAATCCCTGCCCAGGAGATAGAATATGAAAACACTAAAATTAATAAACAGGTAAATAAAATAATATGGTGGTGTTAGGTGACGTTGAGTCGAGTATGACTCATAGAAATCCTATAAACAACAGAGATGAACCCTGCCCTATCCCATGCCTTCCTCACAATCTCTGACACACTTGAAGTCCATTCGGTTACTGTCTCAACCAACATGATTAAGGGTCTTTCTCTCTCCCATTGTCACTTCACAAGCCCAAGCATGATAGCCCTCTTAAAAGAATAGCCTCTTCTAGTGACATGCCCAAAGTGTGCAAGGCAAAGCTTTATTATCTTTGCCTCTAAGGAACACTCTGCCTACGCTTTCTCCAAGACGTACTTGTTTGTTCTTTTGTCAGTTCATGGGATGTTCAGTAGTCTCCAACATCACAGCTCAAAGGCATCAATAATTCTTCTGTCATCCTTATTAATCCAGCTCCCAGCAGCATGTTGTTGTTGTTGTTACATGCCATCGAGTCAACTGCAACTCATAATGACCCTATGTACAATAGCTCTGAACCTTGCTCTATCCTGAGCCACCCTTAATGTCTCCAACACACCTTACCCCCATGACCCCAGTCACTGAGTCAATCCACCTCATCGAGGGACTTCCTCTCTTGAACATAGCTAGTGATTAAAAAGACTATGGCCTAAATCAGGCAGACCTTAGTTCTCACACTATATAACAAAATAATGTGTTAGGAAACAGTAAGTGTTTTGAGGAGAAATAGTACAGGACTAAGTGATGAGATTGGAGCTATAGGGGTTCAGTGGCAGAATTTTCCTTCCAAGCATGAGAGCCCAGTTTAATTCTCACCTAATGCACTTCCTGCACAAGCTCCACCCACACAATGGGGATGCTTCCATGTCATAATGCTGAGCAGGTGTTAGAGGAGCTCCTAGACTAAGCAGGACTAGGAAGAAAGGCCTGGCAATCTACTTCTGAAAATCCAGTCAATGACAACCCTATGAACCACAATGGCCTGGTCTGTATCCAATCACATGAACGGTGTAAGTCTGAGTAGCATTTCTTTCGGATGTGCTTGGGGTTGCCAGAAGTCAGGAGTCAATCTGAAGGCACCGAACAGCAACCAGACAATCAAGAGGTGGTGGGTGTATGAGGGTGAGGTAGGAAATAATGTATTATGATCACATTTTTAATTATTATTAATTTTAATAAACATTTACAGAGGTTTTGGATTTCCATTCATTCATTGCCGCACTTTTCTCCCTGCCCACCCCTCTCCACCAGTTTGCTCCCCTCTCCGGAAAGAAGAAGAAAAAAAATTCCTTCATTGGTATACAATTCCCCATCCCTTCCCCCTCACCCGAGCATAGCTCTCTTAACAGATACATAATCATAACTGACAGAGAGAGGGATTCAGGCCAACTGAAGGAAGATTGTTTCAAGCAAAAGGAACCTAATGTGCCCAAGGACTAGAAAGTAGATCATTTGTCCTGGAGTGGAGTGA